GTAACCGATGACCTGCTACATAAACTGAGGATGGGAGTTCATGGCTGTCAAAAGTTAAATGAGCCACATTGCTAGGGTATCATCTCTGCCCGCGGGCAGGAAGAACGTAAGTGCCTACCTTGAGGATTGGGAGATCTTGGAGTTCCAGCTGTTCAAGAATGTCATTGCCACATGTCTGGAAATTTTGTTGAACTATGGTATGGGGCAGAATGACGGTGCCACTACAAGAATTGAGGGAATGATGCTTTTCAATAGTGACAGGAACAGTTTCGATATGGGAAAGACGAGAAAGCTCATGAGCCTGGGTAGCATTCTGTATGGTGATGATGCACATATCGCTCTTAAGAGCATGAAAAGAAATATCTTTACCAACATGGCGTAGGAGTGCCTTGCCAATACTGTGGTCAGAAAGATAGGCAGTAGAGGAAGTCGGTCGTAAAGTGAAGAATTTAGTCCATTGTGCAGTCTGAAACTGAGCGTGGAAAGGTAGTGAAGGACGTGTCGATCTTTTCTGAGAAGAACGAGAAGGTGGAGAAGTATCATCAGCAGGTAATTGTCGTTGGCGTTTAGGTGTGGGACCAGAGTTGGTCCGACGTGGAATGGGCCGGCGATTTGAAAATTGCCGCACCATAGAGGGAGAGGCCGGAAGCATAGTCAGAGGAGAGCGAAGGTCAGATAAATCGAAGGAGTCAGTCGAGGCCTCAGTACCTGAAGCGGGTGAGGAAACAGCACCGGCAAGAGGTACAGAGGCATGAGGAGTGTCCGAAGAGTGGTCCCAAGACGAGGCGGGGTCAGAACGGGGTGCGGTATCAAGAAGGGGCCCGGGGGTAGCAGGTTCATGGACTAGGGCTGCCATGGTTAGGTTACATCTTTCTTTTTGTTTTTAAGAAAAAAAAAGAAAGAAGAAAATAAAAATAAAAAAAAGAATAAAAAAAAGGGGGGACCGGGGAGGGATAGTTCCTAGGAGGAATGAAAGGGCCAGAAATCTCCCTCCGCGCCCAAGAGGACCTCAGCACCGCAAGTAGCGCAGATGCAGGATGGAACCCGTGCCATACCCTACCCATCATGCCAGTAAACCGGCAATCCGGGATAGCAACCTCGCATCTGCCGAGCTACCTCGGTGGACAAAAGAGGGGGCGGCCGGAAATCTGCCACAAAGCATACCTCCTTCGGCCACCACCCCCGGTATCCGAAAGGTGGCTTCCAGAGATACACCCGTCGCCCGAGAGACACCCAAAGCCACCCTCCGGGATACCGGAGAGGGATCAGGACATCCCCAGGCAATCCAGATTCAACGGCAAACTACGCCACCGCCAAGAACCTCAACAGAATGGGATGGGCCCCAGTACCCTTTCCCCTACTTAGGAACTAGCATGCCTGTGGGAAAAAAAAAAAAAAAAAAAAAAAAAAAAAAGGAAGGGCAAAAGGGAGGGGTGGGGAGGAAGAGGAGGAAAGGAAAAAGGGGAGGATGGGATAGGGAACAGGGGATTGGGGGGTAATTAGGTTCGGTCTGAGGAAGGAGACCGACAGGTCTAATTCCTCAGACCAAGAGCCTCTTCACCACGCCAAGGAGCCCCCCTTGAAGAGGGACACGATTGCAAACAAACCATACCACGGGCGGGATTTGAACCCGCGGTCAGAGAGTCTCAAAACTCCAGACCGTTGCATTAGCCACTGGACCAGCTAGCCACAATATGATTCGTCCATCTAGGTATATTTCTACACCATAGGAAGGTTAGCATAGGCACCACTGTGACCACAAATGCATTTGAGTGCTAAAGAGTTGGATATCCAGTAGACTTTTAGATAGGAGTAGAAGCAAGGAGTGACTTGACGTACATTTGGAGTGTGTAAGGTAACATTTGTGAAGGTATTTAGGAAAACTGGTTAGCTAGGCTTGAGCCCTGAAGGTAGGAAGTACAGTGCCTGCACTGGAAAAAAGGGAGGGGACGTAACAGTTTGGAAAGTCGTCTGAACTGTGATGTCAACACACTTTTGAATGAGTAACGGTGGAAGTGTTTACTCTTGTTTTCGGACTGCCCTACCTCGGTGGGAGACGGCCGGTGCGTTAATATTTTTTTTTATCGTTAGTGGACACCGAAATCACTACCTGATGGGGCTTTAATATATTGGTAACTTAGTAGGTGAACGTTCTCGAGGACAGAGCGATCACAGCCGTATTCCTGGAAATTCTTAAACGTAATCTTTCGTTTTCAAATAACAGCTGGGTGCATTTCGGACGCTATGCGATCCCAGAAAGGTAGCCCCCGTTTTCCATAAGCTCAGCCACCTCTACCTCTATGCACGCAAAAGGAGTAGTGCAGGGTGGCGAGAATATTCTAATGCAGCATAGTATAAAAACATGTATCTACTCTGTATGTATCTGTGTGTATGTATACACATACGCTTTTAGTATGCGTGAATATGCATATGTATACATTTATGAATGCACACACATACACATTTGTGTATGTGTGCATAAGCATGAGTATATATATTATTGTGGGAATGTGTGTATATACACTTTTGTGTATTTATGAATATGTATATATGTGCATATGTAGTCCTGTGTTTACATGTTTGTATATGTACACAAATGACCGTATATGTGTATGCATACGTGTACTTTATGTGCGTCTGCGAATGTGCACGTATCTGTATACATGCGTATGAATGTATTAATAATTAAGGTAATGCTGATGGGCGATTCCCTAGGAGTTAATTTATGTATAAATTGTCACAACGCTAAACGCTTAACCCACAAGGGTAAATTTATGTATGAAAGTCTATGTTTGTGTTCATCAGTATGGACTGATGAAGATACTGTGTGGCGAAACGTTCTCATTAAAGATACCCAAGTGTTGCACATGTGTCTAATTAATCAACCAGGTGTTGCATGTCTATAATATATATAATTATTATAATATTTGTTTCTAGTGTTTTATGAGAAAGAGATATTAATAAGATTTTACCAGTTAAGAAATCAACAAAATGCAGTTAAGTGGGCGAAACGTTGTCAATAACACTGTATTTTAACTGCAGATGTGTTTATTTCTGTCATGTCGGTATTTTCTACGTCTCAAGCTGAGCAATAGTTATATATAATGGAATACAGTTGAAAATTTAATAAATATTCGAGCAAAATGTCCTTATAACACTGTAATAACAGATAATACTACGTGTAATGTAAGTGTCAAAAGATAACAAAAAATCGAAAATTATCCTAAAGATTGGCTGGTTCTTACTGCGAGGCGAGCACAAGTCTCCTTGTACGAAGTGTCTGTTGACTCTAGCAACGTGTTTTGCGAAACCGACATCCTTGTGGTACGTAGTTTCAGCTGTCAGTCTGTAAGTCGTGGAACTGATCACTCGCTCCCTCACATTAATTTCAGGGTACTGACAACTCCTTTCAGGTGGATCCGTGTAGTGTTGCGCGTCAGCCAGTGCTCAGCAAGAGTTGGAGTGTTTGCACTGAATATCTCCCATTGGCTCAGCACTTCACATCATAGATGTGATACACATATAGATGTGATACACAACTCGTGTCTGATATTCTTCTACATAATAAACATTCATTGTTTCTGCACTGTAACTGTTTATCTTGTCTTAGTGGCAATATTTTCTCGGTTTCTTAACATGTCCCTGTTAAGACATTTATGTCTCATGAGTCAGAAATTTGTTAAAATTTAATCATTATTACTGAACTTGTTTTTACAGGCAAAGACTATTTGCTTGAGATATTTTTTAAGTAATTTGCGTCTGAAGATTTCTGACCAACTTGATAATTTATTTTTGAGAATGATAATTATAAAATCCACCTGTAAATACATTACCAGCCGCTCTAAATAAATAACGTGTCATCACAAGCTTAACTGTGTATTAACTGGTGTCTGGGCTGCGTAGGAAAGCATAAATACTTGTCACTTGTGGTGAGGCCCGGCAGTGGAACTTGAAGCTTGTCTCGAAGTTTGTGTGTCAGCGCCTCTAGTGGAGAGAGTAAACACGTTACGTGTGGAAAAAGACACCAATGTTCACTTCACGAGTTGCTTCTTCTGTTACGTTGCTCATAGCTCGCTTAGTAGTGGCATCAGTTCACACACTAAGGGACCGGGGTTCGATCCTCTGATGAGCGAAAAAGTTAGGCCCCTGTGTGCAGAACAACGTTGGTCCCTGGGTACCTGGGTGTGAGGTGGCTGGTGTGAGTCTAACCCTGGGGGGTGGAGAATTAAAGAACCCCTATGGTAATGAAACCGACAGTCGTCGATGATATCCTGACGTTACTGGGTTATCCTGGGTTACTGACCCTCCGGGTTAAATTACAACAAAGCAATTTTTTCTCTCTTTAGGGAATTTAAATGTTTCTTCATGGGGAAAGGGGGGGGGAGAGGGAAAGGAAAAAGGGGGGTGTTGGTGAAAGGCCTTTGAATTAATGAACTTGAGCTACCCTCCCCTTCCTCGGATTAAGCCTGATTATATTCCATTATCATTAATGATAATCACATGAAATGCGATCTTATGGCGTGTGCCATTAAGTATAACTAACCACACCACTCCGCCTGGTTAATGGGAATCAATCAGGTTTGATTTGAGGAAGGAGATATTAAACAACCTTGTATCATGAACCCTTTCCAGGCTTCAACGTATCCCTCCCTTAAAGTGCCATATTATAATTACGTAGATGAATGGTTCAGAGAGCCACCCATTCCAAGCTGAGGGACTGATTACCTCAGTCTTCTTCTGATCTTCACTATTCTTCTTTTTATTGGATTGATGAAGCCACTGTGTGGCGAAACGTTTCCACAAAGATACCCAAGTGTAGCATACATGTCTAATTTGTCAAAAATTATGTACAACACACTCTAAAAGCGAAGATATAATTAACAACTACTCGTCTTGAAGTGTAACTACTAACTACCCTGTCGGTGCTTCTGGTGGGTTATAACGTAACCTCTGTCGGCCAGCTTGCAATAAAATCATTGACTGGTGGTAGTCAGTGCTGGTTGTCTGCTCTTACCGAATACTGAGGACGCTTGTTCAGGCCAAGGAATTACTTAGCATCTGGTGAGGAAGAAGAAACTCCTGTGCTAAGGGGCAAGTCAGTTCCCTGTCATTTAATGTTTATTTTTTCCCCTATAATCTACCTTATCCATAATTATTATCGTATTTGCTTTTGTCTGGTTTCGTAGGATGAAGTCTAGGATCTTTCCTTAATTCATGGTATAACTTAACAAATCTTTGCAACTATCCTGAGCTTTGCTCAGACCTCTCCAACGAAACCAGACAAAAGCAAATACGATAGTAATTATGGACAAGGTAGATTAAAAGAAAACATATTTTATTTTATTTTATTTTATTTAAAACAGTACAGAACAGTAAATAAACAAAATAATACTAGACTTATCCGGCAACAGATGTAAAAACCTTCCATTGCCTAATTTACCACACACAACCCCGTGTGGGCTTCCCCCCCCCTTATCCCCCACCTATTCTAAACAAACAGGATTACCATAGCAACCTGCATTAATCTTACAGACATGTTGAGATATGTACATTAATATTACAGTTATGCTAGTCCAAAGTGTATTACACGACCACAAGTTTGCTTGAACAATGTAAGTCATGGTTTAGGTATGTATCACAACAATCATTACATTGCCACAACATGAAATACATTTAGCACACACACAAGGAATTTCCTACAGGTAATAGACACCTATTCACAAATATTCTCCCCAGCGCAAACGTGTTTGAAGCCTCACCCCCCCCCCCCGCCCCTTACATTTCTCACCCAAACCCATTCACAACCAAACATACAAATTATACAGTAAAGAAAATGAAGACAGCATCTTAACACATTGACACAGTACATGTATATACACAGCCCATTTCACAACCCCAAGTAATAACTAGGATACTAAAGTGAATGTTGGGAACCCTCTTATTACAAAGGTTCTGTACATGATATGTTCATACAAAGACCACATAACAGCAGGTCCCTCACAACTAAAACTACCAGTGTTTTTATACAGTGTGTATACATAGGTATAACTTTTCACTCCAAAGGCGACCACGCCCACCATCTCCTTGTCCATGTACAGGAGCCTCCTGCCCATTGTCATTTGTTGCTCCACCGGCCGGCCGTCTGGCCTGCCTTCGCTGCCCACACGCTGCAGCCATATGATCATATTCGCCGCAGAGGCGGCATGTCCGTCGTTGGCCAGCATACGACACCATGACCTGCGTGCGGAAGGCATCAAGGTACACTTACGACGGTATGGCCTGTCGTAGAGACATCTTTAGGGTAAACGTACCTTCGGGTAGACCAGCATATGCCCCAGCCAGCCACTTGCCTTGTTTTGCCATGTGTACCACTCCGTATCTTCTGAAAACACTGCTGAGATCCACTGTGTCGGCCTTGAAGGGCACATTGCGAAGTTTCACCCACGTGTATTGTCGTGAGACATCTACCATACGCACACGCACTGCAGGGGACACATCTACGCAGATATCTTGAAATTGTTCAACCAGCTCCTCATACACTGGCCCCTTGAGTAGTTTCACAAATATCCGGTAGGCTCCATTCAAAGCCACACCGTACAAATCCTTGTCCTCTATACCATAAGTGTCACGGATAATCTTCGGTAGCAATACCTATGCAGTCTCAGGCGTAATCGCCCCCCGAAGAAGTTCTATGCCAATGGTATGTTGGTGAGGGGCTCTTGATTTAGGGAATTGGATCTGTGCTCCAGTTCCCCGAATTAAGCCTGAATGCCTTCCACATCCCCCCCCCCCAGGCGCTGTATAATCCTCCGGGTTTAGCGCTTCCCCCTTGATTATAATAATAATAATAATATGCCAATGGTATTCACCCGCCTCCTCACGCTAAATGCCATGATGACACTGGATAGCTTGCTAGACTGTCAGTAGAGAGGTGCTAGGCACGCCCACACTCCCTGGCAGCCAGGTCGCGAATGTGTAGGAAAACATATTAGGAGACAGGGAAACTCACGAGCCTCTTCAGTTTCCCTTTTTTAGTTTTGCACTTAGGTGCTGTGGAGTGGACCTTTTGTGATACAGGTTGTGTATCGCAACAGGGCGTTACATTTCAGAGATGGTTTGCATTTGAGCATCTGCAGAATCCTTTAAAACAGATGCGATCGGCTGTTAAAAGTTAAAAAACAAAAATAAAACCTGAGGAATATTGAAGATTCAAACACTTATGCAACATATGGGAATCTTTGAGGAAACTTTTCGCCACACAGTGGCTTCATCAGTCCAATACAAAGCAGAAAGGTGTAAAGAGAGGAGGAGTTTGGGGTAATCAGTCCCTCAGCCTGGAGTTGATGTGAGATTAAGACACATGTGCAACATCTGGGTATCTTTATTGTAGACGTTTCGCCATCCAGTGGCTTTATCAATACAAATTCTAGGACATAACTTGAAGACAGTAGAACTATGTACAGAAGATGAGGTAATCAGTCCCTCAACCTAGGAGTAGGTGCGAAGAGCACCATAGTCGTGGAGATTCTGAAGCAGAAGAAAGGATCCTGGCGCTTATATAGTAACGTCAGGTGTAGCAGACGAGGGCATATTCACTGGTAGGCGGGATTCCCCAGTGGAAGTAGGTCCTTCCCAAAGAGATGGGTTAGTTGTAGTAGTAGTTGTCGTAGTCGTGAAGGTTATGTACATGAGGGACTGATTACCTCATCTTCTGTACATAGTTCTACTGTCTTCAAGTTATGTCCTAGAATTTGTATTGATAAAGCCACTGGATGGCGAAACGTCTACAATAAAGATACCCAGATGTTGCACATGTATCTTAATCTCATCTTGTCGGTATTATATACCATTCGTACACAACCTGGAGTTGATGTGTTCAGTCCATCAATCTTGTAGAATGTACAGCATAGGGTCGTAGACGTGGCTTATATACTGTAGTCAGGTGAGGCGAAGCAGGAGGAGGCGGGATCATAGTGGTACCGTCCACTAGTCGAAGTAGGTCTTCGTCCATAGGTTGGACAAGTTTTGAAGAATTCTTTGTATCAAGATCCCATGATGATGCAGTGGTTTTCAAAACTATTCATCACAACCGAGGAATATTAAATTTATATTTTTCTAATAGTTAAATAACATTAACTTGCCATAGGTTCTAACCCCCACCCATATTCTAGCTTGTTTGCAATCGTGTTATTACGATTTCGTGTCATTTTTTTTTTTTTTATATTTTATTTAAAACATTGCACAATTACAAGGAGGTATAAAAATATAATAAAATGAACCTGATACTGATTATGAACAATAAAACCAAAGTATCACAGCCCCAATACAGAAAATAAACACCATACATAATGCAGTATGACACCCAAAAATACAACTCGCAACATATCATTCAAAATTCCGGCATTATACAAAATATTACTATTGCCTTTGCTGACACAGCTGACGTTTCTCCCCCCCCCCCACACACATTAAAATTATACCCACATTCACCAATCTGAAGAATCATAATATTAATTCAACTTAAATTTCTGAACATATCCTGAACTCGTCAGTAACTTAAGTAATAAGTATTTACAAACATTGGTGGTACATGAACACCAAAATCACAAAACATTAAATTACAA